CTGGCGTCCTGTCCAGGGGGAGTGTGTGTGTCTGCCCTGTGATGGACTGGCATCCTGTCCAGGGGGGAGTGTGTGTGTGTGTCTGCCCTGTGATGGACTGGCGTCCTGTCCAGGGTGAGTGTGTGTGTCTGCCCTGCAATGGACTGGCGTCCTGTCCAGGGTGAGTGTGTGTGTCTGCCCTGCAATCGACTGGCGTCCTGTCCAGGGTGAGTGTGTGTATCTGCCCTGCAATGGACTGGTGTCCTGTCCAGGGTGTACCCTGCTTTGCACCCGTTGCTTGCTGAGATACGTTTCCCTCTCAGAAAACTACATTCTACAATTTTCTTTCATTTGCAGAACAGGATTCAAAAAGGAACGCGACATGAATTGTGATGCATAAGTGAAAATGGAAACGTGAAAAGTGCCAAATGGCACCACACCAGTGAAAAATAACTGGGCTGTCATGGCAGCACTGGAGAACCTGCACATTCACTGCCAGTGTCAAATTTGAGATTTTGTATCGGCATGTTATAATGAATAAGAAAGACAGAAAGGAATAAAATGCTCAAGGAGCAGCTGAAAGGCAGAGTTCTCAGCTGAATTTCCGTAAAGCCCATTGTAACTTGAACTACTCAAAGCAATGCTTACAGGTTCACGACTTACGTTAGTAAATCCCAAATGCAGCAGGTTTACTAGACCTCTTTTAATCCTCAACAGTTTAAGGCTGTGGAGAAGGAATAAATTGATCCTATTGAGCCTTAATTGGATCAGTTTAACTCCTCTCGCATGTGGATAACTGATTTTAACAGCTCATAGAGATGTAGAAAGCCTGTTGGATTCCAGTTGTGAGTCCCTGACTTGGATTGAGCTTTTGGAAAGAACTGTAAAGCTCATAATGCCATCAAGTGATATGTTAATGGGAAAACTAGAAAATTCCCTTTAACAGACCCAAACCCCCTGAGCCTGGGCAAACCCCCATGTTTCCCCTTGTGCCGCTACGCATAGGGTCTTTTTTGCCCTCCTGGCCATTCCACGGCATGCCCTTCCAACATCTGTGACAGTAGTTAGTAGTTGCTTGATCCAAGTATCTCATCCAGATGTTTTGAAACGAAACCAGGATGCCAGGTTCAACAGCATGGCTTTGCAGCTTGTCCAGCACTCCCTCCCACATCCTTTTGCATAGTGAAATCCCACCTGTTCTTGGTTTTACTTCCGTACAATTTGCACTTGAGTCCT